TTGTGTTTAGCGTGTGAATAAGGCTGACGGGTGGGGGGGGATACCAAACGGTAGATTTATTGTTGTCATTACACGATCAAAGAAAAAAAGCAGGAGGGAGGTGGGAGGTAGGAGAGGTACTGGGTAGGGTAGATAATTGTATTCTGTTGAGTGCATGTCTTGTTTCTATTTTACGACGCGACTTTGAAGACACGATGCGCTATATGGGCTGTGTATCAACGTCATTCTTGAATCCAATGGTGTTGGGCTGTTGAGAAAGGGGGTTAGTCATGCCATGGCAACCCATAAGCAATTTAATCACCAGTCACATTCACCAATGCCAAATGATTATGGGAAAATCTTGTCTCAAAAATTCCTAGCGCCTCCAAAAAAAATCACACTGAAAACAAATCATTCCCTCGCCCTTTGCCTTGCCTGCTCCAGATAAATGCTCGCAATCCCCTGCCATGCTTCCCCTTTTCTACTCCAGTTTGACATAAAAAGTTTCGTACCCTTTCTCCGTTGGTGGAAAAGAGGGTTGTATTTTTGGGTAGTTATCGAATACAAAACGAGACGAACCAAGGGGCCGTGTATATATCCTGATGATTGGGGTATCTCGTCGACTGTGGTTCGGCGCGGGTTGTTGTTCAAAAGGATTTTGGTGGGGTATCCTGGGTATTGCTCGTGTCGATAAACTGTTTTGTTTGTTTGTTGATTTCGGAATTATGGATTAGGATATTATTTCTTTCCGGCGGCGGCTTCGGCGGCCTTCTTTGCGTCGGCTGGAGGGAGTGGGTGGTGGTTAGTGACTTGGTGGTAGAGAGGAGAAGGAAGGGGGGAGAGAGGTAATGAGTGCATACCGGCAGCCTGCTTCTCGCGCATCTTCTGAGCCGCGATCTCCTTGGCTTTTGCCAGCTCGCTGCCGGACATGTTGTGGCCCTTCTTCTGGGCAGCTGCCTTCTTCTGAGCGGCCTCGCGGGCCTTGTCGCGCTGGTTGCCGCGGGCCATGTTGAATGTTTAATAAGAAGTGAAAAAGTGTCCAAGAAGATGACGTCGGTTCTCGGAAGGGAGAGGGGGGATCGATCCGCAACCAGCGAGTATGGGTCGTGCTGCGAAAGCGGAGAGTGGTGAATCAAGTTGGACGGCGGACCACTGACGGGGTTCGTAGGTAGGTTTGCAGAAAAAAGCTGACGAGCGGTTGGCGGTGGAAGGTGAATTGCGCTTTTGGTGGTCAGCAACTGGGAGAAGGCTGCCTCCTCTTCTTTGCAGCGCTGTGAGTGGCTCGCCGTTTAAGGGCCCTGGGCGAGGCTGTGCAGAAAAGACAGCAATCGAGATTCTGGGCGTTTCGATGGGTGGGGAAACAGGGCGTGACCTCTTGACCAATCGCCGTTTTCAGCTGAGGAGGATGGCACGTGCGCTTGTTACCAGGGGGAAGGGTTGTCTTTGGGAGCACGATGATTTAGACGCGCGGAAAGCCGCGCTTTGTCGGCGTCTACTGAATCATTGAAGTGAAATGAGCTTCCGAGGGACCCCGAGTCCGGTCTTGATCCGATGATGAGACTTTGCTGTGGATGAGTTTCCAAGATTCCGTGAAACTGTGTTACATGCGGCGGCAGCACAGCAGAACCTCATGGCGCAACGAAAATTGCAAGGACTGATGCGCAAACGGACCCGGGAATCACAGTGCAGATTTTTGATGATGGGAGATTTCTGGTCGGAAACATGCCTTGAGATCAGCCGCTTGAAAATCCAATTCTTCTGATGAACGGTTGTGGTGGTTTTCCTCTGTCAACATCATGTGGTCCGTGTCCCATATCGAAAGAGCAAGGTGGTCTGTGCATTGCACCATGTCTTTCTTTGAAGACCATCTCTCTTTCAACACTTGACAAGCAAGATCAAGTCGATGCTGTTGAATTCAAGAAAACTTCTTCTTCCTCTTCTCATCTCACGATTGACTCATTCTCTGCGTATTTAATGAAGCCCTGCAATTTCACGGGAGAAGATGCCGCATCGAGTGCTGCCCAAGGCTAAAAGCACCTGAAACCATCATGGTTCATTGCCAGCCAATCGACTTGCCCTCCACGCGCAGACTTGAAGATGCGACCACTCGATGCATCTGAACCCCGGCTTTTTTTCTTTCGCGCCGCCGCATATTCCAATGTTACCACGACGGTTGACGTTCTCGCTTCATGACTTGACTGCCGAACCATTGGACCACACCAACCCGGACCTCTCCCGCTATGCGCTGGCAGCCGCGAGACTCCACTGAAGCTGTCTTGATCGGGTGGCCCTCGATCGCCAAAATGTTTTGCTCAACACAGGGCTTCAAGGCAAGGCCATGAGCTAGACCGTGGGAGATGCAGTTACCCCAGCTCATGATCAATTTCTGGGGACATGTCTGGCTTGGAGTTTTTTAGGCGCCTACAGCTTCATTGGTCAGAATGACAAGAAACATTCTGCCCCATGCGAAACACTCACCAGAAGACCCATGAACCAGTTCTTTGCTCTCCCCCTCCCCCTCCCCCCTCTTGTTACAGACTGCCGTGTGGGAAAGCCGCAGACGTTATTTTTGGGCAGATGGCGATTTGCCCATGACAAGGGCAGGTGCCTTATTCCATTGTTATAAACCCGATCGCCACTTCACATAAGTCTATTGTAGCTCTTCCCACCTATTGTCTTTGTTCATCACTTAGATTCACCATTGTACCCCTGGACAATGGGAGTTTTCTTCTATTGATCTCTATTTTTCATTTTTTTTCCTATCCCATATCATATTTTCTCACTACCAAGTCTGGTTACATTTTCTATCTTCAAGATATTTCCTTGTGTTTTTTTTCCCTCTCTCTTCGCAAAATTCGTCAACATATCACACGATATCTACACATAACTTTCGACACATCTGCTAGCCAGATCGTCATCCGACAATCACTCAATCACTTCATCACTCGCCATTACCTGCTGAGCAGTCTGCCAACTGGCACGAGTCACATATGTAAGTACTTATGAGTTTAGAACCTACACCTCCCCTCCTGAGAAGATGGCCCCGGTTGGAAATCTCGACACCCGGTTACCCCCGAAGCAACGAAAAATTGTCGACAAACAAGCTCCTGGAGAGTATTTCCCCATGCCCGAACAAGCTCCTGTGACGGATAGGCCGGGCACTCCCCATTCGCGGAAGCCAACTCAGCTTCCAAGGAGAGCATCTGCCGCCAGCCAAGTTCCAACATTGCCTCCGATCAGAGGCCGTGAATCGATAGAGTCAAGCTCCACAGATGAGTCTGAGGAAGAGTCAGAGGAGGAATCGGATGTTGAAGATGTCCTGGTTGGGCAGCCGCAGCTTTACCGCGGGCCACACTGGCCTTTGGGGTCAGGACAGATGCCGATGCCTTCTCCGGCTCAGGGACTTCCACATCCTCCTCTTTTTGGGCAAAGACCCCAACAACCTCCCGGCCCTATCCAGGAACACCAAGGACTCAAGCCACCAGCTCTTGGACAGTGGCGTCAACCGCCTCCTCCTGGACAATGGCAGCAACCTCCTCTTCCTCCTCATGGACCACAGCATCAACCATTTCCTCCTCGTGGACAACGCGGCCAACTTGAGCAATCCCTTAAACCACAGCACCAAATCTCTCACCGAGGTCCATCTTCTCAACCCAAGCACATGAATTAACCTGAACCCCAATGAAATACTCTTACTAACATCTTTCTCCTCAGAAAACCCACAACAACAATCACCACCATCCCCAACAACAACAACAAAATGCTCTCCCTCGCCACCTCCCCCAAACTCCGCGGCTCAGGCCACCTAATCCTCCACGCCCTCCGCGCCATGACCCTCGTCGCCCTGATCGTGATCATGGCCTCGTGCTGGGCAATGATCGTCCTGTCCGGCATAACCGGCCACTTTCAATTCTTCGACGTAATCTCCCACTTCTTCGTCTTCGCCATCAGCATCGTCCTCTTCATCTCCGAAATCGGCCTCTTCAAGCCCTGGTTCAAGAACAACTTTCCCATCCTCGGGCCCGACCACTCGCTTGGTTGGCTCGGTCTAGCTCTGATGATCACGGGTTGTGGCATCATGGCAGATTTGGTCAAGCCTGCGTACAGCATCGACAACTTGGGCCTGCCAATCTGGAGACTCGTCCTCTCGTCTGGGATTTTGGCCATCACTTTCGGGGTGTTCAACATGATTGCGAGTGTTGTGTTTCGCGACGGGGAGAATGGCATCACCGCGCGGAATATTCGCTCCGACGGCTCTCTCGCCGTGCCCACCAACCAGAACTCCAAAGAATACTACGATTCTGGGTATCAATCCTCTGTCCGGAGCAACTCCATCCGTCAACACCAGCAACATTACCCCGAGGACGACGACAACACCACCCCTCAACAAAGTCAGCCCTTTTACAAGCGCATGACGAACCACTTTTCTGTTCCCATCCCCCCCAAGTTCAACTTTCGAAAGTCGCGCGGGAACCTGCAGATTAGCAAGCCGATGCCGATTCATGACGATAATGATGATGTGGAAAGGGGGACGGGGTATGGGAATCTGAACATGAGCAACAGCAATAGTCGGGCTAGCCCGGTGATTCCTGACATTCAGCGTCCGCCGACCGCACTGCATCCTGCTTATACGGGGGGGAGTCATTACTCTACTGCTCATATGGACAGGTTCTAGAGCAACTCACTCACTCACTCACTCACTCACTCACTCACTCACCACACATAATCTTTTTCTTTCCTTTTCGTTCTTTATGGGGGAGGGGCAAATAATAGCATTAGTAGGGATGGGATGGGATGGGAAAGACATAAGGGCGTTTAGGGAGTTTAAAGCTGATTTCTTTTTTTCGATGGGCGTTTCATGGGCGGGGGGAAAGATAAGAAGGAAGGGGGAGGGAAGGGGAGGAGCAGTATTGGTATACCCGAAGGATTTGGAGGGGAGCATACAGGAAACGGGAAGACTGAATAGGCCATTCAGCTCCAGACATCAACGTCACATAATTACTTTGGAGGCCAGAATTGGTCTGACAAGAAGAAGAACGAAACAGAATGAAAAGAGGACAGAATGTCTCTCCATGTGGATATCATTGTGCCTGCAGTATTTGATGTTCGAAATGATAATGATGCAAGGTCAAAGGTAACATGCTTATATGATATCCAATGATATCTGTACTCATCTATCACCCAACCAGACTCCATAGCCACCATATATATTCCACTTCATCGCCCGCTTATGTTGGTGTCCAATCTGCCAAGTCCAAGAATGTGCAACTGCCACACCAGCTCGCTTTTTGTATCACATGCCACTACACCTCAAAAAGATCAACAGCAAGCAATTCAAGGCAAAAAATCACACAACAGCAACATTAAGACAAGCAAACATCAACCAACACATATATCATTACCACCCCACTATCCCCAAGACTGAACGCAACGCATCATGAAACAAACAACCAAACATCTCTGTTGATTTTATGGCACCCCTCACCACCGAAAAAGCGCAAAACCAGATGACCTGACCGTTACCCGACCAGTAGTAAGTTGTCCAACCAACCGACCGACCGCCTAACCTGATCCGATCCCGATCCATTCTAAGTGATATAAACGATGTGTGTATGTAGTAGTAGAGCCCTGATGCAATCATATGAAAAAACCCATCAAAACGCCATCTAATGCTTAGCGGTGACGGCCTCGCCAGTCAGCTTCTCGACATACGTCTTTGCCCTGTTTAGTCAAACATGGTTAGCAGCTGGTCAAGTGAGAGATACTGGAAGCGGGAGAGGAAACTCACATGTCACCCATGGCGACCATGCAAACCGTCTGCCAGACGCCCAACCCAATACGGGGCGTCACACCGCGGTACAGACCCTTGAGCCCGTTCGTCTCGTAAATATACTTGAAGGTATTCCCGACCGTCATCTTCTTGGGGCGGTTGGGATCTTCCTTCTTGCTCTGCATCTCGACGCGGATAACCTCGATAGGCTGGTTCCAGGCCGACAAACCACCACCCAGCGCCGAGGCAGTGATCTTCTCCACAGCGCTCAGCTTCTCACCCTCCTTCTTGCCGGTGAGATCCCTGATGCCCTGCTCAGCGAGACGGCTCAGACCGAAGCGAGAACCCCAGTTGGTCATCTGGCGAATCGCAACAGCGTTGACACCCTTGTTGATACCTCTGATGCCTTCGCGGCGGTAGATGTCCATGAAGGTGGCCCAGGTGCCGGGAGCCTTTTGGCCGGTGGAAGCCATCTTATGCTTGGTGATCTCCACCGTCTTCATGCAGGTGCAGAAACCCATAGTAGCGTACGCCTGCGCAACACCACCCGTCACACCACCGAAAATGCCACCGCCGAACTCGCCGGCGCCGGCAGCGCGGGCATAGTACTCGGCCTCGGAAGCGACGAAGAGAAGGACAGCGCCCTTGGTGGAGGCTTCGATCCAGGCCCAGGGAATGAGACCTTGGTAAACTGTTGGACAAGAGCAAAGTCAGCGCATGCTACTTGTTGGCAATTTTTTTTGCTTATCCGAAGAAAAACTTACAGCCGAAAACACCACCACGGTTCCAAATGCGGCCAAGAGCAGCTCCGAAACCATCACCTCGGTTCGCCGCCATGGTGGTCTTGATGACCTCCAGGGGCTGGCCGAGGGAGGTGACCTCGAACAGGTTCAAACCGGCGCCCAAGAGCAAGTTGGAAAACTTGATGGGCTTCTTCTCGAGCTTGGGAGGCTCGGAAGCCGGGAGAGAGGAGGCAATAGCGGCGGACATGACTTGGTGGATGTTGCTGTGATAGGGGCCCTGACCAAGGGAAAAGGGTGCTTCGTCGCAGGATCAGAAAGAGAGAGGAGAGAGAGAGAGTAAAGTTTGCGGAGGACGGGAGAATGTCCGGACGGCGGGTGTGTGGGTGTGATGAGAGGTGGGTATTTGGAAGGTGTGGAAACGCGGGGGGGGGAGTGGGCAAGGTCGAGGAGGGGCAGCCCAGGTTGCAAGAAAGGGCGGATTGGCTGGAAGCTAGGGAGTCAGGTTGTTGCTGATGATGCTGAGCAGTGGTAGAGGCGACCCGGAATATGATTTGAGCGGCTTGCAACGCAGCGAGAAGGCGGCTCCCCTAAAACAATAAAATTGCACGTGTTACCGATGGAGGCTCAATCTGTCATTGTAGATGTGGATTTGAATTGCCCAAAGAAGCGAGGTCCCGGCGGGAGAGCTTGGCTCACCCATGGGGAATGGTCAATTGGGGGGGGGGGGGATACCCGCGGTAATGCGGATAACGCAACAGCCAGCATATGAAAGAGGGGGATCCACTTACGACTAAGAACACGGAGATGAGGCTGTGTCAATGAAGGAAGGATTTGACGATGGCAGCGACGACAATGTCGTTGATGTTTTTGTTGTCGAGGAAGAGAGACAAGAAAGAAAGAAAAAAAAGGACCCAAAGACAGGACCCCGATAAAGCTCCAATGGTTGGGGGAGACAAGGGGGAATCCCGAGTTGTTGGCAGTGCTTGCCCGTTCCGTCTTAGACTCTTAGACGGGCCAAAGCTCAACGCACGCCAATCGGCTGACACACCCCTGCTCTCAACCACCCGCCTCGGCACCTCAACAGCAATTGTTTTGGGGACCAGTCTCACTTCTGACCTCACCTATGAATCCGGCCGGACCGGCTTGGGGTAGAGCTGACCCGGCCACTCAGTCTGTCTGCGCTAGAGATAAGAAGCAGCTGGTCCATCGGCCGTCTTTCTTCAGCTGCTCCTCACCGACAGTTCATCTCTGGTGGTGTAGAAATCTCGAATTCATCTTTGTAACATGAATTCCATAAGAACCCAACAGCATCTACGGTCTGCAGTGCGGCAGTGCCCCGAGGATGCTCCTTGCCCAGGGTTCTTTTGTGGCGGCAAGGTGTTTGATGATATTGATGACCGGACCGAGCGCACCGAGTGTGTAACCAAAAACAACTCTGACGGTGCTTCCTGCATCCAGGGTCCGAAGCCGCAGCTTGACTTGACTTCCATCAGGATTGCATGTGGCACACGCCCGTTCGATGTCGCTCTCCTACAGCCCCCCCACCCCATGAGTCCCGCCCGGCCCTGCATGCATTGGAAACAGAGATGTTGCAGCTAAGAACTTTTCATTGAACATGTGCGTGGCCGAGTGGCCCGGAATACGGAAAAATCTGTATCGTACAACTCAATGGACAGCCATCACCCAGTAATCGCGTAGCCCCAAACCAATCAATGCCTCCAGGGGCTGAAGCAATCGCTGAATATTTCCCATCCATTCTATACTGAAAAACCCGTAACGATCCCTTCGCGCCGAATTTTCCCAACTACCTAACCCATAACCCGCATTACTCCCCGTCCTCGTACATAACTTACAACTTCTTGCAGATCTCGATCCACTTCTCGGTGGAGAAAGACTTGGGTCTGTGCAGAAACAATAGTTAGCTTGCTGTTTGCGTACATGTCAGGAATAAAACTCACCTCTCAATGGGGGCACCGACAGCGCGGTCAATGATGAGCTGGGGAAGGACACCAATGGCGCGGGAGACACCGAAGAGGACGGTGTAGTAGTTAGCCTCGGTGAGACCATAGTACTGGAGGAGGACACCGGAGTGGGCATCGACGTTGGGGTAGGGGTTCTTGGTCTTGCCGTGCTCGGTAAGAACCTTGGGGGCGATCTTGTAGACCTGGCTGACGAGCTTGAACATGGGGTCCTCAGACATGTGCTTCTGGGCGAACTCGCGCTGGGCAGAGTAGCGGGGGTCGGTCTTGCGGAGGACGGCGTGGCCGTAACCGGGGACGACACGGCCGGAGTTGAGGGTGTCCCAGAGGTACTTGGTGATGCTCTCATCGGAGATATCATCACCAATGACCTTCTTCATCTCGGTGAGCCAGTTGAGCACCTCCTGGTTGGCGAGGCCGTGGAGGGGACCGGCAAGACCGTTGAGACCGGCAGCGAGGGACAGGAAGGGGGAGCTGAGAGCAGAGCCGACAAGGTGAGTGGTGTGGGCGCTGACGTTGCCACCCTCGTGGTCGGTGTGGATGGTGAGGTAGAGACGCATGAGCTCAATGAAGTCAGCGTTGTTGCCGAAGCCGAGCTGGTTGGCGAAGTTGAAGGAGTAGTCCTTGTCCTTCTGGACGGGAGCGACCTTGCCGCCCTTGAAGACGTTCTGGTAGATGCGGGCAGCGATGGTGGGGAGCTTGGCGATGAGGTCCATGGAGTCCTCAAAGGTGTATCCCCAGTATTCCTTCTTGTTGATGCCCTTGGCGTAGGCACGGGCGAAGGAAGAGGTCTGCTCAAGAGCAGTGACGGCCATGGAGAACTGAGCCATGGGGTGGAGGTCGCTGGGGCAGCGGTCGATCAACTCCTCAACGAACTTGGGGATCTCGGCGCGGGCAGCCCAGTCGGCAGAGAGGTCGCGGACCTGCTGCTCGGTGGGAACCTCACCGGTGAGGAGGAGCCAGAAGAGACCCTCGGGAAGGGGCTCGCTGCCGCCGGGGGCCTTGGGGAGGACCTGCTGGCACTCGGGGATGGTCTTGCCGCGGAAACGGATGCCCTCCTCGGCGTCGAGGACAGAACCCTCCCAGACGAGGCACTTGATGCCACGGGCACCGCCATAGACCTGGTCGAGAGTGACCTTGTCAACGACCTTGGAGCCATGCTCCCTGTGGGTTTAACGACAGCTCGTCAGCAGCAATTCTTTGTAGCGGGCGGGCGAGGGGCAGGCATTGTACTTTCTGAGAGCCTTGATCTCCTCGATCTTCTCGGGGAGGAGCTCGGCGAAACGCTCCTTGAGGGTCTGCAGCACGATAGCACGGTCAATGGATGATGTCAGGGCGCATTTGGCGTCGGGCGTCGTCTCGCTCGTACCTGGGTCTTGGAGGAGTAGCAGCGGGCAGCAGTGAAGGCAGTCTGCTTGGTCGCAAAGGACGAAGCCTTCAACGAAGCCCGGAGGGCGGAGGAAGTCAGGCGCATCGCAGGAGCCATGGTTGGGTATCTGATGTGGAGGGTTTGTAGGTGTTTAGGTGAGAAAAAGGGAGGAGGTGAAAAATGTTTGGGGGTTGATGAAGACAGCCAAGCCGTAAAAAAAAGCGCAGCCCGCCCGCCCCGGGCCAGGGAATAAGGTCAAGCTTAGCCTAGCCTGCCAGCATTTGGCAGGCGGCTTTGCGGGTTGGCCGGACACACGGCAACGGACCGACCGGGGTTCGGCTGTCCACTCCCTTCCAGATTCCCCATTGCTATCATAAAGACGATCCCGATGGTCTCACAGAGATTCTCATGGCATATATATTTCAAGGGAGGCTGCTGCTATCGACTATCAAGTCTTGTTGTGTAGCTGGCATTCCCAACAAGGGGCTCTACCTATGATTCCGGAGCTCCCTCCCCGTGATGCAATTTTCCCCTCTTTCCAAAGGCTTCTCTGAAGTGGATGCATGGCTACAAAGTGCTATCCGGGTATTAAAATGGAGGGGCCCTCCGGTACATGGTACGGAAGCTTCTCATGTAAACGGAACCCCCAGCACCCAAGTCTCAAGTGTTGCTTTTTTGTTTGGTACCCCTATGAGCTATTTCGCCCGGTTGACGTCACGGCACCCATCTCGAAGCTGCCTGCTGCACGAGGGTTTCGAGAAGCTCGCTGGAGCTCCAAACAGCTGCCCATCGAACTCGTTCCCTCGGAAAGTTTGCTGTTTCGTGAGGCGAGTCCCCTGTGGCAAACCCTAAACATACCGAGTGGGAAACCACCTTCGGCCAAAGGGAAATGTCGTGAACCACTGCATGGCCGCTCGCCCGTCTCGCTGCAACTCGGGAGTTTTTGCAACACATCTTGGCTTGGGCGTAGCGTGGGGTTCCAGGTTCAGTTCACGAGACAAGCGTCACCTCGTGGCCCTGGGCCACTCAGTGCTCCATGCCGGCTGCTTGGCAGCTGCCTCGGACGCCACAGTTGGTCGCGCGCACGCCACATTTGACCCCGGCCCAAGAAACCCAAGGCTTGGTGTGACAGCCACAGCGACCCTCCCCAAATAAAAGCTACCAACCGTCTCCAAAAAAAAGCTCGCTCGTTCCCCGCCTCCTCTCCATCTTCGCGGCAAAAAGGCCGGCCATCTCGATCTTCTTCGATTTCCATCAAGACGACTTCATCAAGAACACACTTTTTTTTTCATCAATCTCTAACTTTGCAGTAGCCCAACGTATTTCCCCCCCAGAGCCTTCTAGAAAGTCTTTTGAGCAGGATTGTGCCGAGTGGGATCTATTACTGCGTGCCCTGCTCCCCCCCCTCAAAAAAACACGCGTCTCTGGTGTTTGCGCATGCTCTCAGGTTTCGTCCGAACGTAACTTGGTGAACTCGACGCGACCTTCAAATCAAACCTAGTAATCTGCTGGCTGCCACTTCCCTCGGGGGACCTTGACGAGAGCAAGGCAGAGCAAACAAATCAAAGTCAAAAGCCAGCCAACCGTATTTTATTCTTCTATTGTGACCTAGGAGCATGGCATAGATCTTGTTCACCTGCTACCCCACCAAGCTCACTCAGTCGTATTATACTTCGAGAAGAGATCACGGGCCTGTCTCTCGGCTCTTTTTAACGACTTTTTCAACGACTTTTTTTTCCCTTCCCACTGGTATCACCACCGCCAGTCATCCACATCATCCATTGTCACCAAAGAAGGCTTCCGGAAGTGGACAACGAGATGGCATCGTCACCGGTAGCAGAGCTCGAGGCTGGGCTGCAAGCCTTGCTCAGCCTCAAGGCTCCAGGCGTATCTGGTTCTCGGATCTCAAATCTTACTGCACTTTGCATCAACAACCCACAGGTAAGCGGACTCGTGAAGCGATTCGATTTGATGTTGTAGACGGTTATACTAATTTTGGTGTCTCATTTGATAGTCTGAGTCGGTCATCGTCCAAAAATTCTATACACATCTCAAGAAAACGCCCGGAACACACAAGCTGGGCGTCCTCTACGTCGTAGACCAAGTAGCACGGGAGTGGTTGAAGAAGGCCAAGGCTCTGGGACAGTTTCCCATAAATTCTTCAGCGCAAGATGGCACATATGCTGCGGGCGTGCATAGATTGACTGAACTCATGCCCACTCTGATGAACGACAGCATCTCGGCGGCTCCAGAAGATCAAAAGGTACGCACATATGATCATGCACTGAATTTTTGCCGCTCCAGCACCCAATAGACGAAAAGAGAGAGGGTGGGTTTTTGCAACTAGCTATTGGCGATGACCTCACAGTTGGCGTAGACAACTGCTGCCCTCGCTTCGTTGTCTTGCCTCGTCCAGCCGGTGAACTTCGGCAGCATTCTCAAAGTCTTGGGCGCCCACATATACACATACATCCCTGCTTCATCACCATGACTAGTAACTCACACGTATGCCGGTATGTAGGACAAGATCAAGAAACTGCTCGATATTTGGGAGAAGGGCGAGACGTTTCCCGCTGCCATGGTTAGTTCCTGGCGGGAGAAGCTCAATGCTCCCCAGCCGACACGTAGGTCATCCAAGATGTCACCGCTTCTTTGTGTAGATGCACCTCTGACAAGACCCCTGCCAACAGTCCAATCAACAACACCTCCCGGAAGCCCTCCCCCCAACCTGATGGCTTCGCTTGGTATTGGAAGCAAGCCGCCTGCACCGCCAGCAACGCAAAGCAACCCTCTAAACATTCTTGAGACCCTTGCCAACCTGGCTCGCCAAAATGCGCCCAGTACACAGAGTAATCACTCGGCCGGGCCAGTCCCGGCTCCGGCCCCTCCCGCGGCCCCAGTCCAAGCTCCAGTTCAAGCCCCGGCCCCGATTGCGGCTCCGGCCCCTGCTCCGCTGCCTGCAGCCTTGTACGGCATCCTTGGTAGCCAGCCTGGCAATAGCGCCATGCAGCCTGCTGCTCCGCCTGTCAACATGTCCACATTGCCACATGCCTTTCCACCACCCATGGCAGCTCCTCAGCCTGCCCATTTCCCACCACCCGCAGCACCTCCAGTGCTCAATGGTGCGGCCAATCCAGCTGCCAATCCGGCGGCCGTCCAGCTATTGAGCGCTTTGCTGGCCCAAGGTGTACCTGTCGAACAAATCGCCAGCGTAATGCAGCTCATGACCCAAAACACTGCGGCTACCGCATCTCCAGCCGTCCCACAAACCGGCTTCCCGCAGCCACCTCAAGCCGCTTACCCCGGCTACCCAGCTCCTCCCGTCAGTGCCGGCCCTGGTCCAGCCCCCTGGGAAGCGCCCAGACATGCAGCCGACTCCCGTGATCGCAACGGCTATCACTCACCGGAGCGTGTTCCCCGTGGTAGATCCCGTTCCCGCTCGCCGGGACGCTGGGACGCCAGAGACTCACCCCGATCCCGCCGCAACGACCGCGGAGGATTCGACTACAACCGTCCAGCCTCGCCAAACCGGGGTTACAATGATGACAGGGGATATCGCCAGCGCTCGCCCCAGGGCAGGAGAGGTAGCCCACCAGATAACTTTTCCCGCCAACAACAGCAACAACAACAACAAGGACCGCCACAGCCCAACGGAGAAAAATGGGTCGATCACGACCCTACCGTTCCCCCTGGCCACTTCAAGGTCTTGTCGCGAACCCTTTTCGTTGGCGGGGTCATGGTTTCCGAGCCCGAATTACGGGAAATCTTCTCTCGCTTCGGCGAGGTCCAAAGTGCCATTGTTCACAAGGAGAAGAGACACGCCTTTGTGAAAATGTATTACAGGAAAGATGCCGAAAAGGCCAAGGCGGCCATGTCGGAGGGCGGGGCGAGGGGGAACGAGCTCCGGACGAAGTGGGGAGTGGGCTTTGGGCCCCGGGATTGCAGTGATTACGGCACTGGAATTTCTGTTATTCCTATTCAAAAGCTCACGGAAGCGGATAGGAAGTGGGTGTTGACTGCGCCGTACGGCGGTAGTGGCGGGAGGCCAATTGTGACGGGGATGGTGGTGGAGGAGCCGGATATTGAGATTGGTGCGGGGGTGTCGAGTAAGGCGATCTCTAGGAGGATGCAAACTGATAAAGGCGGGAGTCACGGGCCTAAGTCAAGTAGGCGGGAGGAGGACCATCACCATGATGGGGGGTATCAGGGTGGTGGTGGTGGTGGTGGTGGTGGTGGTGGCGGTGGTGGGAGAGGGGGATGGGGAGGAGGGAAGAAGGATAGGGGTGGAAGGGGAGGGGGTTTTGATGGGAAGAGGGGAAGTCATGGCGGGAATGGAAACCAACAGAATGGCGATGATCCAATTGTTATGGAATTGCCGCCGGGAATCCAAATGAGTAGGAATGGGCCGGTCTTTCAGGGGTTTAATGGTGGTTATTAGGGTTTGCCTTTTTTTCTTCTCTAGTAGCAGCGTCATGGACAAAATAATAGGACTTGCATTGCAAAATGAAGGCCTTGAATATAGCAGACATGACTTCAGCTTTCATTTATTAAAGCTTGTTTATTCACTTCTCTTTTGAGGCCTTCAAAAATAGCAGGCAAGCCCTCGACTATGTTTCCAACTCGTATTCACTACCTTGACTGTCTTTGAAGGCCTCTTGGCTATCCTTCGATAGTTATTTCTCTTTTAAAGGTGTTAAGCCAACAATATATTATATGTTTTACTGACTTGGTGTGTCTGGCCAGGTATAGAACTCAAGGCTGGGGAAAAGGGGCAATAGGATGATGGGCACCTATCGAGAGCGTTGGGTAAAACATGATGAGGTTCTAGTAGTGGGTTGGCTCGGCATGATGCCTTGACATAAGAAGCAGGGAAAACAATGGTATTTGGACAATTGTGGAGTGACTGAGAATGCATTTGTTCTCTTGTCCCGCCTTTCACATCACTGCCGTATACCATACCCAAACCAGTCACAGGCAGAAGAATATCAAACGGGCATTCCCATATCCCACAATGTCTGTGTGCATGCACGTCTCTTATATACCCGACCTCCACATCACCTGTTCAAGGCAACCTCAACTCCTTTGTCATCATGCCGTTGCTCCCCATTCTACCTCACCCCCTCCTCAATTTATACGTCCCCCCCAACCCAGGAAAAGCCCTCTCAAACTCCCCCCCCAAACTCCAGCTCTCCAACCTCCTCACATGCGCCTCAAAAGCGGGATTAATCACCATCCCATCCCCCACCCCTGCGACCGCCCCTTTCTCTTTCTGTCGTAGTAGTACACACCCCCCCTCCCCCTCCCCTTCCTCCCCCCAACCAACCCTCAAAGTCCCAGTAAACGGTATAAAAAAATTCTCAAACTCTATCCCCCCCTCCTCCGTATCATCATCACACATTTGTACAATCCTCTCCCTCATCCCTCCCCAGGGTATATAATCCACCCAGGCCGGGTGCCTTTTCCGTCTCTGCAAACCCCCGGGGCGAAAATACTCCGGGATCCTCTCCCAGTTTTCTCTTGTGGGGGAGACTTGCCAGCGCATGAGGAGGAACATGAGGTACAAAACCGCTGCGCGCTCCGGGAGACGGGACAGGCCGGGGAAGCGGGCGAGGATGTCCGTAAAAACTTTTGATAGGGGGTGGGAGGGGGTTGACGGGTTGAGGAGGGAGGAGATGGAGGGGTAGGGCGGACCGAGGACGTCGTTTGCGTGCGAGGAGGGGAGGGAGAGGAGGTGGCGGCGTTCGGAGAGGAAATCTAGGAGGATTGAGTCGAGGGGGCAGGTTGGGGGGGAGTTGAGTGGGAGGGTGAAGAAGTCTTCTTCATCATCTTCTTCTTCTTGGGGTTGATGTTGTGGTAGTGGTGGTGGTTGAGTGGGTTTCGTGAAAGGGGTTTGTGTGGGTGGTATCAACAGAGGGACTTGATGATGGTACTGGGTGGAAGCAGCAGCAGCAGCGTTTTGATGTATCCGGGCGATTTTCTGGGCCGGGTCGAGGAGGAATTCGAGGCCGAGACGGTCTGAACCTAGGTCCAACCCGTGACCGAGGTCGTGGCGTTGCTGGGCGAGAATACCAGCCTGGGAAGAGGGTTGAGGTTGCTGAAGCTGGTGTGGCTGGTGTGGATGTTGCTGGTGTGGATGTTGCTGGTGTGGATGTTGCTGGTGTGGATGTTGCTGGTGTTGTTGACCTTCTGTGCACATGGGCGTCACCACAGGCGACATACTGTTATGCCATCGTCCATGAGTACCGACAGAGCCCGGAGAGGCAACACTGCCCGGGCCAGACCCCGAAAACCCCACAGATGTCGGAGTTGGTGCTACTAGTCCATGCTGTTGGTGGTGCAACGACGGATGGTGTGTCTGAGCTGGCGAAGGTAACGGCGCAGGATGCTGCTGCCCAACTATACATCCCATCAACCTCTGGGCAGGAACGCGACGAGACAAACAAAACTTACCTATTGGCGACCCCTTAGCCAGCAGAGGCTGAACCAAGTGCATAATACTAGCCAGACATGCCTTCACCTCGGCCAGCTCCGCCTCAACAGCCTCCCTCTGGCGAACAGCAGCCTGCAGCTCCAGATACGGCTGCTGAGACTTGAGCTCACGAATCTCCCGCTCATACTGCTCAATCTTGAGGCGCTGCCTCTCTCGGATAGCACGCTGTGCGTCACGATCTGACAGCCTCGTTAGTGCTATCCATGACTAGGGGGAGCAGGTTAGAGGGGCCGGAGAGAACAATGAATGAATACCCCCCGGATAACCGCACCCGCCCTTGCAATCCAGCCCAAAAAAATGTTTCCACACTTTCCGGAGCGGGATGCCGACCGCCATCGGGGGAGGATTTCACACCACCAGGAGAAAAAGACGTTAGAACAAGCTCCACTTACCATTCGCCCGTTTCTTGGCCAGCTGCTCCGGGGTCAAGTTCGCAACTCCTCTCGATCCCGGGACCGCCTTGCGCTTTTTGGAGATTCCACCGGTGCCGACATCGTCTGCCGTGTTGTCCGGGAGGTTGCTGTTGGCAGTCCCGTCGGTGTTCACACCGCTCATCGGCGTCGTTATCGTTGAGGAAATAGACGCAGACGCGGTTGACGATTCCCCGTTACTGCTGCCGAATTCACCACCGACACCTCCGGACCCGGGCGCCAATGCTCGTGGCCCTTTTCCTCCCCCTCTAATGAGGGCCGAGACCGTTGCGGGTGCAGCAGCAGATGCGGCGGGTGTGAATGATGCAAGGCCATTCAAATTGACATGGTTCCCGGCCATGGCCCGAATTGAAAGAAAGAGTTAGTAAAGATGATGCCGCCGGATGTTCAACGGCCGGCGTCATCCGAATACAACTGTGTGTAACACCACGCTTTCAACTTCGCACACACCCTTCTCGCTCGCTGTGGATGCGCGGTCGCCGAATAAACGGACCCGACAACGCGGTAACGGAAGCGGCGGGCGGCTGATGGGATCATCAGCCACAGCACGACATCAAATTATGACTAATCACATTCGTTGAGTTTTATGCTAAACATCGTGTTCAGTTATTCGGTTCTTTTTTATACACGCCTGCCTACCAATGCCAAAGCAACCAAAAAAGTAAGGGTATCAATAAGAAAACTTTTGAATAACCGATCCAACGCCAACAAACAAACTGGGATGCTGATCAGAAGCCACCGTCTGGAACTGGATGGCCTTCACCACCCCCGGTGCCTTACTCTTGTCCACATCCCCCGATGGCATCCTCGATCCATCCCGTAGCGAGTACAGTCCAACCGTGCAATCATCATGAGCAGCCGCAACAACACCATGTCCATACCCCGGCTGCGTAAGCACATCCAGCCCAATCTTGATATGTGCCTCGTTGCGATAGCCAGGAAACTCCACCGCCGGAGCCGCAGTGTTTCGCTCCCAGGGCTCAAACGGCTTCTCGCCCGCCTTCTGCTCCTTCGCTTTCACAAAGCGAAGATCATAGATGCACATCGCGTTCTTTGGTCCCGCAGCGAGGACATCAAAGCCACCGACGGCCCTGAGATGTGCCACGCTGCTCTTGTGGCGGAAAACCATCGAATCCCATGCTTCCGGCGCCGTCCGCGTATCGAGTTGACAAACGTGACCTGAACGAGTGCCGGCGAGGACCACTTGAGGCTGCGCATGAAGAAAGTCAACCGCGAGTACATCGCCCCGAAAAGGCGGCACAAGTTTCGCTGGTCGACGCCTGGTGTCCATTTCAGTCGTGGCAGCAGTCGCACCAGGACCTCGGGCACAATACACGCCACGCTGGGTTCCCAAAACAAGTCTGGCCCCGGTCTCTTCAGGCGACCAGTCTCCAGCGTTGATGTAGTTATTACGTAGTGTGGTTATGAGGCCGCCACTGTGCAAGACTACAATGCAAGAATCAAGTCAGCAAATCGGTTCTGGTCTGAGTCACAAAACTCCAGAATGGGTGAGCAGAAAGAAGGCCACCCACGTGGGAAACACCCTTCTTGCCCGGAAGAGAATCCATATTCGTAGTACGCTTTCGGGGTGGTGGAATGGATGTGGTTGCCAAGGAATAACAGCGCTTCTCGCCTTCCTTTAATACCAACCATGTTGGTGTCCCCCCTTTCGCTCCTATGTTCAACGTACCGTCCTGGCCAGCGACACCTCCGTACCCGGTTGCAAAGGTAGTTGACCCTTCAGATAAACACACGTTAGCAATTCAATATCCTGCCCCCCTCAACAAGAGTAAACCAACCTCCCCTCCCTTCCCAACGGCGCAGCCGAAACCGACATCCCCATCTGTTCCATCCCTACATCATCACTATTAGCAACCCCCCACCTTCTCCAACCAAGTTACCAAACTCACCAGCAAAAACCCACACCGACTCCTCACCAACCTCATCCTCCTCCTTCTCCCACCCATCCTCCCCCTCCTTCCTCCCCTCCTTCTGCGCCTCCCTCTGCCCAGCCACATAAAAACAATCAATCACCCCCCCGTCCCCCTCCTCCAAATTAACCCACATCTTGATCTTCCCCCTATCCTCCAACCCCCCAGCCCACTCCTTTACAATCCCATCATCCCCTTCCCGCCCAGTCTCCCTCCCCAACACCCAACCAACATCAACCCTCCTAACCCTCTCTCTCCTCACCCTCTCCTTCCACTCCCTCTCCCCCCTTTCCCTCTCCACCTCCTTCCTCCGCCTCTTCACCTCCCCTTCACTCCCCCAAGCAGCCGCCCCACCAGGCAACACCGTCCTTTTGCTATCCTCAATCTTGAAGTACTTCCTCTTGACCTCATCTATATCATCCCCCAAGTCAGCACATGTGTCAGCCAAGTTTCCTTCCCCTCTCCCACCTTGCGCACACCCTCGCCATCTCTAAAGAGTAAGAGATTGGTCCCCCATGAAAAGCTAAAGAACATCGCCAGAAACCCTCATCACATGACCTCTTGACCCTCAAAAAGAGAAAAAAAGAAAAAAAATTTACGTACCATAGTAAAACCCCGGAATCTCCCTCGGAGGTGGCATCCTGACTTCTTTGCGTCCTGAACCAAAATCCTCCAATCTCCGACAATTGTCCGAATCGGGGCAAAAAGAAAACGGTGATGATGCAACTCGTAGTGGGTTGTTGGTGGCGAGTTGTCTAACAGGGAACCGCTTCAGAAAAGAGAATTGGTGTGATATTGGTGCTTACAGTAGTATTTTCTCTGGCGCAGTCGAAAGTGCAGATAGCGACTCGTGTTGTTGGTAGTGGCCGTTCGGCTGTCCAAAAGAGCATGAAAATCTTTGCCCAACAATGACAAGAGGTCGGTGCACGTGGGCAAAGCCAAAAAAACCACTTATTCATGCTCGCCGGCAGCCACCATCAGCGCCACCATCACCACCACCCCTCTAGCAAGGTACATGTCACCACCACAGCAAAGCCAGTGTGAACGTAATTATGTTTTACTGTTTATTAGATCTGTCTAAAGTATCGGGGCGCCACTAGTCCCCGGACAAAGTCGTGATCAAAGACTCCGAAAAATTAAAGTAGGTGCCCTGTAGCAGGCTCTCGACCCATGCCATGGTCTTATCATTCCTCCCAAAAGCCGAGGCGCTGCTATTCAGGGCGGGGTATGCGTTAAAAAAAACCATGGTATCTTAATTTGGTGCCATAACCATGGCACCCTGCCCATCCAAGCCATGCAACGAGGTCGCTTACTGCGACTTCTCGTGCTGCGTAGACACACGCTGGAGAGAGACAACAAAGTCCTCCAGCGATCTCTGCTTCTGGTTGCCCTTGGGGGACTTGCCGTGCATGAGGTTGTCAAACCCGACAGAGTCCTGGAGGATGTAGTAAACACCGCCCATGACGCAGAACACACCGAAAGAGAAGACCCAGACACGGACAACCGCGACGATCGAAGTCTGATCACCGCCCTCAAACCATCCGAAGATACAGAAGAGAGTGGCCAAAATGTCAACGACGAGAATAGCGCCGGCCAATTGCCACGAGGGAAGAGAGGACCAGAAGGGACCGTTGGCACTGGAAAAGAGTTAGCATACTGCTTCATAGTCAACACAAAATCAAGGATAAAAACATACCGAGTGATGAAGATGAGCCAGTTCTCAGTGAGCGAGATCTGAAGGAAGACAACCTCGTCGAGGTTACCGAAGTTCTGGATGATACCACCGTTGGGGTGGGCGTACATGGTGGTGACAGTGATCCAGGTACCGACGGCAAGGACGACACCGAGAAGGACGGACATACCCCAGAGCTTGGGCAGGTTCCACTTGACGGGGGTCTTGGAGTAGGGAGCGTTGTCGTAGGCAATGGCAAGGGTGGCAACATCAGCGAAAATGGCGATGAAGACAACGAGCTCAATGTTGAGGGAGCGGTTGAGGATGGCGATCCAGAGACCAAGGTAGATCTCGAGATGGATCGACAGAGCGATACGGTAGACAACGTAGGCGTACATGCGGTGGAAAATCTGGCGAGAAGTCTTGAGGGCATCAATGATGGCACCGAGACCAGGGGCAAGGAAAACGATATCGGCAGCAGAACGGGCAGCATCGGAAGCACCCTCGACAGCAATACCAGTGTCAGCCTTCTTGAGCGAGGGAGCATCGTTGACACCGTCACCAGTCATGGCAACGAGGTAGCCACGCTGCTGGAGAATCTCGACGACATTGTACTTGTGCTGGGGGAAGACCTCGGCGAAACCATCGGCAGCCTCGACGAAATCGTAAACCTCAGAGCCGGGCATGTCACCGCCGCCACCGAGACCGAGACGCTCGGCGTTGTAAACGTTGGTGCCGAGACCGAGCTGGCGAGAAGTCTCACGAGCGATACCGACGGCGTCACCAGTAAGCATCTTGATGGAGAGACCGAGAGACTTGGCTTCGTTGATGGTGCGGGCGGTATCGTGACGAGGGGGGTCAGAGCAGGGCATGATACCGAGAATCTCCCAGGAGCCCTCACCACGCTTGCGGGCAACACCGAGGGAACGGAAACCACGGGTAGCGAACTCGGCAACCTTGTTCTTGTAGTCGACATCAACCTCCTCGGGAATGGGGTGGTCTTCCTCAACGGTCTTCAGGACGAAAAGAGGGGCACCCTTGACGCAGATGATGCGCTCACCCTGGGGAGACTCGACAACGGCTTGAACCTTCTTGGAGACGGGGTCGAAGGGGTGGAAATCGAGGACCTTGTACTTGGAGAGAACAGACTTGGCACGGGGGTAGAACTTGAGAGACTTGAGGAAAGCCTTGTCGATGGCATCCATACCCTTCTTCTTGCGGGAAGCGGCCAAGCAGGCAGTCAACATGAGGTCCTCGGGCTCGACACCAGCAACGGTGTAGGGCTCAGCGAGAGAGAGCTTGTTCTTGGTGAGAGTACCAGTCTTGTCAGAGCAGAGAATCTCGACACCGGCAAGGGACTCGATGGCAGAGAGCTTCTGGACGATGGCCTTCTTCTTGGCAAGGTAAGCAGCGCCGACAGCCATGGTGGTGGTGACGACGGCGGGAAGACCGACGGGAACACCAATGATGGTAATGGCGAGGGTGAACTCAAGGATCTTGACGATGCCGTTGTCGCGGTAGAAGGAAGCAACCCAGACGACCAAGTTGGTGAGAATGACGAGAACCAGGAGAATAGTACCAATGCCGTTGAGAACCTCGGTGAAGTGACCGGAGCCGGCGCTAGCAGCGTTCACGAGGGCAGCGGCACGACCGACGAAGGTGTTGTCACCGGTAGCGGTAACGACGAGGAAGGCCTCACCACGCTTGACAGCGGAAGAAGCGTAGCAGGAGTCGTTCTTGTGCTTGTCGACGGCGAGAGACTCACCGGTGATGGCAGACTGATCAACCTGGAGGAAAGCATCATCGGTGACGATGCGACCATCGGCGGGAATAATGGTACCCTCCTCAACCTGCAGGATGTCACCGGGGACGACCTCGGGGGCCTCAATCTCCTTGAGGGTGCCATCACGGAGGACGACAGCCTTGAGGGCGAGAGTCCTGTCAATGGGGGTTAGCAGGGCTGTCTGGCGCGGCAGAAAGCAGGACAAGACAAAACTCACTTCTTGAGTTCATCGACAATAGAACCAGCCTGGTATTCTTGGACGAAACCGACGACAGCGTTGAGAAGGAGCAGACCGCAAATGACACCGAAATCAACCCAGTCCTCGAGACCAGCAGCCACTGCCAGGTAAAGACGGTTAGCAAAAGCAATTCTTGTCGTTAGAACGTGGATTGGCGATGCATGAAGCCACTCCGCTTGGCGCCCCGCTGAGCTGCAGAGGCGCCATGGCAGAGTGGGGGGCGAGATGCAAACATCGCCAAGGAAAATGTTTGGTGAGCCAACTTACAGACGGCGGCAGCCTCCATGACGAACTGAATGGGACCGACGAAGAAGCCAAGGAACTTCAGGAGAAGATTCTCCTTCTCCTCCTTCATCTGGTTGAGACCATACTTGCGGCGTCTCTGGGTAACCTCCTGCTCGGTGAGACCGACGCGGGTGTCGGTCTGGAGCATGTCCTCAGGAATGACGCGCCCGGATCCGGGAGCGACCTCCTCTTCTTCCTCAAACTAGACACGAGATGGGTTAGCAGGCGATCCATCATTGACCGATTGGTCAAGCTGCCAAGGCCGACACCAACCCCCCCAAAACCAAGGCCGAAGCGACCGGGTGGTGGGCGGAATGGGGCGCGATGTGCGCTTGGCGAGACCGGGGTAGGGGGAAAGCTCACCATGCCATGGCCGTCGTTGGACTCGAGGTCCTCGATGAGGGCGTCAATGTCCTCATCCTCCTCCTCTTCCTCCACGACCTTTTGCTTGGGAGGGGCGGCATGGTGAGGGGCCTTTTCGTCAAAGTTGCCACTCTCAATGTTGGTCGACAGCGCGGGAGCGCCGGTGGTCGAGTGTTCGGCCATTGTGACGCGGTTGTCGGCAGATAAGCTCTGCTCGGGGCTGATCGGGACGAGGAGAAATAAAGGTGATCAGTAGGGCGCGGAGTGATCAAGTGATGCTTAGGTAGATATGGTTGTAGGTGGTGAACCAAAGCTAGGTGGGCGGACGCGGCCTCAAAGGTTGTTTTGTTGTGACGACCTTATTAATAGGTGAGGTGGCGGTGATGCGGTGTTGGCGACCACAAAAACCGAGAGAGAATTAGGGTGTAGAGAGGAGAGTTGAGTTTGGACTCGAGGGAGAGCGAGACCTCACGTCGAAGGGAGAGTTAAAAAGGGCCTTCAAGCGTGAAGCAAAAAGAGGAAAGAGAGGGGGGAGGGAAGCGGGCAGTCCAAGTATTTCAACCTTTCCAACAACGCCGCGAACCACGAGCGACCTTTCCCGGCCCTGATCAAAGCTTCCTTGCCCGCTACAAGCTGCGCTACCGTGGGCACAGTACGGAATTGCACGTCCAAGCGAAGGTACCCAGGTACCACCTACTGGACTGGTGGAACCTTCACCCGCTCACCCACTCATCACCCACCCACCCACACTCCATTGCTCCTCCAAAATCCATCCATCCCATCAATCAATCCACTCCAACTCGCCCACTCGTCAAACCCGCTCTTTTGCCTGCCCGCTGCTGCTGCGTGCCTGCCAGTCCAGTGCCCGTGCTCTGTTCCAGCTGCTTGCTGCTGCTGCGATTACCGCTTCTTTCTACCTTCAGTTCCAGGTTTCCCCGACTCGCTCTTTGCCTCCTTCCCCGTCCTTCCATTGGGATGAATGCCTTACACTGTGTGTGCCCCCGACCCTAGACTGTGCGCTACTGGGCGTTCCTGCAGCATCGGCGCGTGGTCGGCGTTCTGCCGTCCCAATTGGCACTGTCCTTGTCTGCTCTGCCAGTCCTGCTTTCCTCTTCCTCCGAGACCCCAAGCAACCAAGCAACGGGCATCGCAACCCACAGCAACCACTTGCTACCCTGGTCCTTGAAAACAGTGGGTCGCGCAACTGCAGGTCACAATCAACAGCGAGGTACCTGGGGTGCGCAATCTGGCCTTGTACCGGCTCCCCACTCTTGTCTGTCCTAGCCCGCCGAGGATGCCGCCATTGCCTGGGTCCTCGGTACCTTGTCGTGACTCCACTGCCAGGTACCTCCGTCATCCATTCACAGGCCTTGCGTGCGGGATTTTCTGGCTGTGCCTCTGTGGTTCTGAGAAGCTCTCTGCTTCTGGCAACGAGCTCTCAATGAGCAGAAAAGATGCAGGCATTCAGAAAGGCAAAAAGAGCTGCAAATGCGCGCTTATAGTGAGCCACGCCCATTAATTCCCTCGCCGCAAGCTGGTACGGCCTGTCCAGAATCCAATTGACACCATGCGCTCCCCGCGACGGCGCTGCCATGCACTGAAAAATCAGATGAAGAGGGCGAGGCCCGGGGTTGTCAGCGGCGCTCGAGACCTCGTTCGCCAGGCATGAGAAACTGCGAACCGACAAGCTTTGGGGTGTTGGCTGCCCCGTCATGGGTCGCCAACCTGGGCCCCCCATGCCCGCCCAGTCGCAATCGGTTTGGCCTGCTCGTCTGACCACTCAGAGAGCGCCTTGTCCTGTGATTGGCCTTATCTCACTGGTCGGACCAAGAAACAGAGAGAGAGAACGATTGATGAGAAGCATCACATCACAAGGCGATCAGAAGGACGGGCTTCGGCTTCGAAACCGAAAATCCCACCGGTACCCGGCGGCGAGGTATCTTGATGGTTCCTGTGCTCATCCTCGCCCCTCGCCTTCGTCCCTTTTTCGCGGGCAGAAGCCAGCCGGCTCTTCTCGGTGCGGTGGGGGACCATCCCGGTGAGGAAGGCGATGGAGCCGGGAAGGCTTTCCATGCTCTGCTCACCGGGCGATGGGGCAATCGACGAGCCATTTGTTTCTCGGTCAATTTGGGAGGGAGAGAGAGAGAGAGAGAGAGAGAGAGAGAGAGAGAGAGAGAGAGAGACAGACAGAAACGACGATGCGATGCTACTACGAGCATGGCTGCTGCTGGCTGTTCAGACGGGCACACCCGAGCTTTGACAGCACAGCAGTCTCCATACGCTTGTGTTTCCTGACCCTGCTTGCATTTCGCATCTCGCATGTTATCCCATTTTGGCATGGCATATCCGTAGTCTACATCGGCCTCTCCTGTCTCTTCCAATATCCAATTCAAGATGATGGCAATGCGGTGTTTCGCTGCTGCTGTAACTGCATATCTGAGCGAGATATTGGCTCCCGCCCCAAATTGCCTCACATGTCGGCTCAGTGGCTCACTCATATCCTCTCTCACACTCTCACATATCTCGCTCTTGTTGCCTCGGAAGCCCCGCGGGAATCTGTGTATCATTGGTAAAACCATGAATGATTCCTCCCTCCGACTGGACGGTAACTGCCCGCTACTGTTACTACAAAGCACACCATCCCACCACACACGACAATCCACCTATATCAAATATGCATGGCAAGTCGCGTGGAGGCGAACAATAAGAACACACAATGAAAGGACAGGTCAGATTTTCTTCAATTGTTCGGCCAAAGCGGAAGTGCCGAGGTGTGTGGTCGGCCGCCCTTTCCACTACGTCATTTCTTCCACACCCATGGGAACCATCGACTCATGTCAGCAACAACTTCCATCCCCGATGACGGCGGCGGTGAGCAAGAGATACCCTACAGCACAGAAAGAGAGAGCCTTGCCTGTGATGATGATGATCCGGGCTCCCCTTTTTTGGATATGATATTATCAAATCCATTGATCATCAGCCCTGTTTCGGGCCGCAACCCTCCCATTGAGCATTTACGACAGTCATGTGGCTTATGGAGTCGCTTATCGACTGTTATTTGTTCAACACTGAACTGACGAGCAAGTTCCCTGCTTGTTCCCGGCTTCTTGATAGAAAGAAGCATATTTCGGGACTGCCGTTGATGATGTCTTGTCTCCCGGGAAGGTCCCCTCTTTCATCAACGCTAGGTGACCGGCATGAACCAACCCCCATATGCCGCCCCGTTGTATGGCTGGGGGAAGGGGGTAAAAAGGGACGGTTGTGGCTACCGCTCCCGAGTCGTGGCAAGTTGCTTGTTTTGTCCACGCCCGCTCACACATCAACTGCAATTCCCACTTTGGCGTGGGAGAGGCGAAGAATTCGAAACAGCCGACAGACTCGAGTTGATGGGATCAAAGCAGATGATTTTTCCGATATAAAAACGAGCAGAGCAGGAGAGGTGTGGTGGAAGCAGCAATGACAAAGAGGCAATCGCCGCTTTTGCGCTTCAAACATTCATCCAATCTCAACGGTCAAACCTCCGTGCCCCCCAAACGGCACTTTGGGGGAACTCAAAAGCCAAGAAAAACAATATTCAGCTGTTTGATATATCGCTTTTGATACAGAGTATATCCCTTCGGACTACAATTTGCCAGAAAGAACGATGCCCAAGCACACTGACGGGTTGCATCAACGGTACATATCTTGGCACCTTGGATAAGATTGTTGATCCAAGCCACTTGCATCTACCTACAATGGCAAAAATCGCCAGAAAGTGCGGACATTTCTGACATCTGTATTTTTTTTTTCTTTCTTTGCATGTCGTCTGTGAGTTACATTGCAGCCTCATATCTGTTACCGACCGATTGCATATATACCTCTTTCTCATACTGTGTACCTCTGGGTGTGATCGACATGAGACATATTTCCTACTTTGCGTGCGTGTCTTTTCTTACCTACCCTCTTCTATCTGGCTGGATGGGTGGATTTAGTCACATAGCTTACGCACTTACCATATCATTATGCTACTCTTACTCGGCCGCGGCCAAAGAGATGTCGTTTTCTCGAGACTATTGCCCTGGGCGTGAACAATAAAGGTTGCCCAGCCCGGTCCCCGTTTCGCATATATGGCTGCTTGGTCGGTGTCCATCCAGGTAACAGAGCACACGACAGTCCCCTACGCTACCGCTGTGCACGCTTGCGGTAGTATAGTGATATCCGAACGACCGACCGGTACTTATAACACTTGCTTCTCTTTTTGTGCTACCGTTCAACGAATGGCGAATAATAATCTGATATTTGATGTTCAAGTTTTCAGTTTACACTTATCCTTGGCTTCCCGGTTATTCTCCGGACCCGAATATCAAGGTCAAATATTTCAATCTCAAATTTTGCAGCATGAAGGAAACTTCCGTCTGGGGTTATGCGTATGTGTGCCGTTGATTTTGGATTCCTTCCCCAGATATGGCAAAATCTGGGGGAACCTCATGCTGTTACTGCTTGCTGTCACGATGGACGACCCGGGGAAATGGAAAAGCGATGAGGGGGATGTGCTCTCCAGACATGGCTGGCTACATTATCCCGCAAACTGGCGGTCAAGGAAGAATTCTAGAATGTTTCTTGTCAATGCATTCTGCAATCCCATTTTAGGCGAATCGCATAACCCCGTAAATTCTGTCATATATCTAGCTCATACCCAACCCCGAGGGTTGTTGTCAAAAAAGTGAAGCTGATTGTTGACTGGTCAATGGCTCGTCGTTTGTCGGAGATGCTGGGCATCAAATGGGAGAACGGCTTTTCGCGGCCGAACAAGGGAAGTCCCCGCGCCCGTGCTTTGCTAGCATGCTCCGGCTCGCAGGTGTGTGTTGCTTGGCAGCTTGATGGGGGATCCATCAACAGCGCGGGGAATATCCTCGCAATGGGGTTCCTCCAATGATCAGGGCTGGAAAAGAACAAGCGATTCGGAAGGAGAACGGGATTCGAGCTATCGAAGGGGAAAACGTGCTCAACGCCCTCTCGTAAGGTCTTGGGACCTGCTGATAGGAAAGCCTTCCTTCCTTCTTGGTTCTGCCAACACACACACACACACACACACAATACGAAACCCAACCTTCGTCCATGCGGCGGCGGCGGCGACGGCGGCGAACAAATGGTGGGATAAGGTGGCTGGAAATGTGTCAATGGCGCAATCCGATGCCTATCGC